TATAGTAGAACAGGATTCAGATGAAGAAGCGACCCTTTTGTTAGGATTTCTGTTACCCGTTTCTAGCTTTACCGAAATCTCAATGGCTTTAGGCCTACATCGATTTGAATCGCATTAACCAACACTCTACTGACATTCTTAGAATGGTACAGTTTCTGTGTGGCGGTGTTCACTTCAGCTGACTATAAATTCTAACCAGAACTAAGTAAGTGAAAATGAAAAGTCTCGACTGGCGGGCGTCTTCCAGTTGCTCCTTGAAGATCAGTGCCGAAGCTGGACTCAGATAAGCCAGACAAATAACACAAAATCACTGCTACAAAATCGTAATTTATGACAGGGTTAGTAAACCTGTAATTTCATCATATTCTTCAGCCAAGCCCGGAGGCAGCAGCGGCGATGCTGGCGGAAGTCTCAGTGGCGGAGTCATTGCACAGAATAGTATGAACGAACAAGGGGGCGATGAGGACTATCCCGACGAGGAGGGGAACGAAGCAGGGACTGGAATCACAGGAGCTGGTGGCACAATGTTAAAGACCAGTAAGAAGACGCGAATGAAGGATTCCAGCAATCGGATGAAAACTCACAATTACTCGAACAAGGAGCAAGATTTTCAGGTGAGCATAACGGATTTGTGTTGCCAAAATTGAATTGTAGCCAGCTGTGCTGTCTAATATTGTTGAAGAGTAAATTCCCAAAAAAAATAATTCAGCCTTAACAAAAAATAATAACTTTAGGTGATTTCAAGAGTCTTAATACAGTTGTTATCCACGTGTATGAGATATATGAAAATTAATTCCGGCATCGATTTTAAAGACAAATGCACAATCGCTTAGTCAAAAGTTCCGTCATATAAAAGGGATTTGGAAATGGTCTCAATCGCCCCCAAACAAACATATGTCCCGTGACCCATTGACAGCCGCGACAATGTGGTGGAGTGATAAGTGGTCGTCATGACGCTTACGATCCGCTTTCGAACCACATTGGAGGTGTTGATAGAAACAAGGTACAGAATTTATGAGAATACATTTTGAGAGGCACTAATGGTAGTGTGATCACATTCTGTGGCCTAGAAAGACTGAGTTCTTGATCAAAAATAGCATATACAAATCGCAAATGAAAAGAAACACACGGA